TTTTTACGTGCACCTCTAGTTTTCTCTTCCTCTTCTCTAAAGCAGCGCAGCATGGCCTCGCCCCCTTATTTGCCTTTTCCCGAGGGCGGGGTTTATCTGTGTTTGTGATGTCACGAACCCGGGAAGTAACTCGTTGTAGTCCCTACCAGCCGTTTTTTTTTGTCGGCATTAAACTGCCAGGATTTTAAAAGACGACATCTCCGTTTGCATTGAACTTTCAGCTTCGTAACTTTGCAGATATTGTTTATGCTCAAACAGTAACATTACACACTAACTAACGTTAAAAAAGTGAAATCGCAATCAACCACCCCTTTAAAGAATTTGAGGAAGTAAGTGTGAGGGTGCTATCAGCAGTTTATAGTGAATACATGGACAAACTAGCTGGGCGACTTGTAGTAGCAGGATTAGGGCAATCAAACCTGTTGAAAAACGGATTAATTTGGTTTGCCCTATATCTACACTGTAAAAAATGACCGTGAATTTAACGGAAAAAGACTGTAAAAATGCTACAGTAAAAGCCTGTTAAATGGTTAACGGTAAATTCCCCTACTATATACGGTGAAAAACGGTATTGGACATTACATGTATTGGACATAAATTTTACGGTAGTATACCGTTTTTGGAAGTGGAAAAAGACCGTATAATTTACAGTGAATAACCGTAAATTGACATTCCCAGAATTCCCTGCGTTACATTTCAAATTTGATGTTTTTTTGTTGAAATAACTATGTTTCTTCTTAGTTTTTTCTTATCAGTTTTGTATATTAGGGTTGTGTGTTACACCTAATGTTGTTAAATGAATGTTTATTGCATTATTTCAGTTTCATGCGTGTTACCATGATGGTGTTTAGTGTTTGTGTGAATGACACTGTGCACCTTCTATATATGTTATTATCTAAAAGCTGCTTGTGATGGGCTTTGATTCATCATGTGACTTTCTCATCACCACATGCATTTGGTGGTTATCAGTGTATTACAAAGGTACAAAACAGATTTCAGTACTTCAATAGGTTGGTATATTAACATTATATCAGTTAACGAAATTACAGTTACTGTAAATTTAAGTTAAAACCGTAAAACCTAAAACGTTGCTAACATACTTTTTACGGTAAAATTCCGGCAACCACAGCTGCCGTTTTTTTACCGTAAATTTTACGGAATTTTTTTTACAGTGTACCCCCGAGCCCGCACAGCAGTTGTTGGTCTTTTTACAGCCAGTAATCGTTTTCATACCATCCCAGACCTCACACAATCATAATCCGATTTAACATCTGAACTGTATTCAGCTATTGAGTATTCAAATAAATTAATAGTAAAGTTGAACAAAAAATACGTTTAAAATTCCTTAATGTAATTTGTCATAAATCATA